CCCCAAAACCCCAAAACCCCTCATGTCACTATTAATAAAAGAATAAAAACTTTTAAAAATATCTTAAATCAATTGGTATTAACTTTAATTTCTTCTAGATCACTAGCATTATACATTTCCTTATTATTGCTTTATTTAGGTATTTTTCTTATCACTTTATATAATAAATATCTGTATAATCGTTTGATTAAAATTTTCATGTCTCCTTAATCCTTCTCTGGTCCAATGATATATAGACAAGCTGGTAAAAATGTCAAAGAGTAAAATATCGACAGCAAAATCGTAATAATAATAAGTAATCCAAACTTTTTTAGTACAAAGATACTAGTAAATAGCAGAAATATAGCACTAATGATAGTTGTGATTGCCCCAGAGAAGACAGCCAAGCCTATATTGCTGAAAGCATGATTCATTTTATCTCGTCTAGTCGTAATTTCTCTGCACTCTGAGTATGCCATAGCGACATGAACTATATAATCAACTGAGAAGCCCACAAAAAAGTCCATTGCAAGTGACTCTGATATTCCAATCTTCCAGCCGATCAGCTAAATCATTCCAATTACACTTGATAAGACACATGATATAGTAATGACAGCAAGCAGAGTTACAATGATGTTTTGAGTGGCTACGATTATCACAACAAAAGCAAAGGCTAAACTAATAAGGAGGCCTTAAAAGGCATTTTAGAAAAATGCTTTTTCTGTAATTATCCATGCCCAGTTATCATAGGCTGATTGGAAAACTCCCTTTACTTAGATAGGTGAATTAAGATTAAATTAGTCCGCTACGCCCTGCCAATCTTAGTATATTGGATACTTCTTATCATAATTATCATTAGTGCCACCCATACTAGTGATTCTTACTTTTACATAATTTATTTTAGAGAGCTTTTGATCAATTCCAATCTCTAAATTTTTAAGATGATTTTATGCTAGTGGATCGCTTATCAACCATTTTAACAAGGATTTCATGAAATTATTCTTGGCTACAGGGAATTACAGTTCTTTTTTCATGAGATAATTATGAAAGTCCAGTATAAAACAGCTTAAATCAGGTTTTCCTGTGATTTGATCTATTAAAGCATACCTAGAGTTCCTTAAGTTAAGGCAAAAGTTATATAAAGCAAGTTATGATTTCTCGTTGCTTATGTCAAAATCATAATTATATTTTAACTCTCCTTAATATCTTGTATCCCATTTGCTGACCTTGTCATTTTTAATCAGCTCCTTATTGATTCCGAAGTTGAAGTATATTTAAATTTTCTAATTCGAGTACAGTAAATTATTGCGGTAGTCCAAAGCTTTCTAAAGTAAATCTTTCCCACTAAGAAATTTTTCATTATAGCTTATAGATTAGATCATTGAAGCTCTCCAAATTGATAAACCAATTATCACTGATGTTAAACTTATGATAAGAAATCTGCCTCTGTAAATGCCTAACAATAGGAGTCTTATTATCGCATCAGAAACTCTCTGAAGAAAATTTCTAATGCTTTAGCATCTTTTGTTTGAAAAACTTTCTTATGAACTTTATTGATTACTACTATTACTCAGAATCTAGTTTACAGTCTCTTATGTAGTCTTACTTTCCAAGGATATCCTCCCTTCATCTTCATTGATTTTCTTAAAGCTTAGTTCTTTTTAACTCTCTGTTAACTTTTCCTTATTAATTTCAAATTAATTAGATTTTTCCTCTTCAAAATCTTCAAGATCAAATGCTTAGAGATTTGTTTCCAGCTCTTAAGTTTTAATAATGGTGTTATTTTCCAATTATTTACTCGATATTCTAAATAGTTTTCTCCTAAGCCATGATAAAGGTGAGATTTATTTGATATGCTTCTCATAGAGCACATATTAACTTGGCAGTACAAAAATTATCATAAAGTAACAAAAAGGAACAACTATTATCGAAAATATTCCAAACCCCGATATTGGCATTATAGATGAAGTGCAAGTTCCGATGAAAGCCACTAGATTTGTAATTGATGTAGCTATAATAGCTTTTGAACCTTTTTGAAATGTTATAGCCACTCTTTTACTTATATCAGTAGATAACTTCTTAGATTTAATCCAAGTTTCATGGTATAAGAAGGAATTATCAGCTCCAATTCCTAGAATAATTAGAAAAACTAGAATATGCAAAAGCGAAAAGTATTAAATCCTCAATATTAATCTATAAATCACTAATCCAATAGGGACTGTACTACCAATATTAATCATTACCACAGTGCTTAGGAACAGAGATTTCAAATTGAGTGCAACATAAAGCCAAATAACAGCAAAACATATAAAGCATAGTTTCATATCTGCTTTTATTTTATCTAGTAATTTTTATTGCCCTATTTCTAAGCTGATAGCAATAACTTCCAAATCATCTGTCTAATAGTTTCTAGCTATATTAAAGGCATATTCACCAAAAGCCAACATATTTGAGTGAGCTTCCCTAATGTCCTCTTTATTAATAAAAGGTAGATTAGAATTAGGTTCTCCAGCATAAAATATGCTTGAGAATATTATTGACTATGTACTATTGCCAGAAAAATCCTTCTGCATAATATCTCTATTCGTCCTTAGCCAATTTAAATCTTAAGATTTGATCTGTAAATAAGCATTAATTTTTTCTTAGGTTAGATTTTACTTAATATAACTGTTTCCTGCAAAAATAGACTTGAGTGAAGAGTCAGGACATATCTAAGAATTACTATCTGCGTTGTAGCATACTTTATTCCACTCATTTGAGCTAGAGAGTTTTTCCTCGAATTCAAGGGATTTTAAGATATTTTTAGGGGTGAATACTGTTTGGCAATCAGTTTTGCATTTGTAAAATACCTATACAGAGTATTTAGAAGACACAATACTCTTATCTTTGACTGAGACTGAATCGCCCAAAGAATCTGATAGAATCCTTTTAAATTGACTTAAATCATAGCCCTGCTTATTCTCAAGATCCTCCAAAATTGTTGGCATGCTTTGACCTTCTTTAAGCTATTGCTGGACTGAAAGATATTGATCATATACAGATGTAATATTTTTGTAAACCTCTTTTTCTATGGCTTGTTCAGTATCGTAAATCTTAGTTCTTATATCAGAGGAGATAAAGAAATCTCTTTACTCCATGTTGATAGTATCTAAAAGGTTGTACTTAACCGTTAGGATAACACATACAATTTGAAGAGAGAGGGCAATAAATACTATAAGAATATAGAATCTTGTTGTGATTCATGAGAAGAAGTTCTCCTTGATTTAATCATGATTACATCTGGATTCATTTATTAAAGAAGGCTCCAGTTATATATCTTAAAACTCTGGGTTCTAGTAATCTTAATTCGTTGCCTCAACTACTCTAGGATAATCTCCTGATTCTACTTAATCAATTGGTTCTTAGTCATCATCAAAGATATCATCAAATAAGCTTTAGAATATTTGACTAGATAGCACTCTAAAATGTTTATTTGCAAGTTGAGAATGATTAACTTTTTGATCTTCCAATTATAATAAACAATTTTTCTAAATATCTCCGTTTTATGATTTAAGTCTATTATCAATTATCTCATATATAGGGTCGCTTTAATTTGAGACCAATTTCTAATTTCTGATATCTCCTGTGCTTTTAGAGTGTTTGAGAGAATTTTAGAACATTAGGTATCTCTGTGATCTTTAATTTGTAATATTTTATTATAATAATAATGTATCTATTTTTGGTTTTTAGTTTCTATTTTAGAATAATATTCAGCCATCAAGGGGTTTTGGGGTTTTGGGGG